TTCATCAGATGACCCGGGTTTGGACTACTGGGCGTGTTTTTATTTTACTGGTGTCAGCTTGTTTTTAAAAATACATTATAAAGTAAATTATACACAATACCAGGAATATTTTACCGTCTACCTATTGTGTTGTGTCGATATTTACATCCTTATACATTACTAACAATTTACATTTCTTTACAACACTATCCCATAACTTGTACAAATACAAATATTTTTGTTGACAACGGGAAGAAATTTTATTCAAGTACACGGACATAAAAAATAAAAACAAACAACGGGAAAAAGACTACCATTTATGTATGTACATGACATGATGTTAAGAGCACGAGATACTTAGTATCGCCTCCCGAGGACTTCCCGTTTTACTTTTGCTTAATATTTTTCTTCCTCTTTCAGGGGGAATCAGTACTAAGTCATGACATAACCCACTTCTCCGATGGCTTCCTTTATAAAGCGTAGAGAGCATTTTTTCGTAGAGAAGACCAAAAATGCAACTGATCAAGTCTCATTAAACTTACACTCAAACATATAAGTTTTTTAAGCCTGCAGAAAATATATTTTACATATTATGGCCCCTTGGCGCTTTAAATGTGTAGCTAGCAACATTTGATTTTTTTCAAACTCAATTTCAACTTTTATGTAGAACTACGAAAAATGTCAAAATTGACTTAAATCTTCGTTAATTCTTTAACAGAAAAGAGTTTTTAAAATCAAGGTCAAAGTCACAAAGCTGTCATAAAAATCTGAAGTCATATAGTAATTAATTAACTTCAAATCCTCAGCCATTTCTATCACACTATGAAGAGTATACCCTCATGCCCATAAAATGATAATGGAAAAAAATGGGAAAAAATCACTTGTGTTTTGGATCTATAGTATTTTGACAAGACTCGCTGTCGATTAAACATTAAAGGCATGAAAGATGTAGGACAAACTCCATTTTCTCTAAAGCTGGTCAAAGGTCAAGGTCAATCAATAAGTGTAGTGCTTTATGTTTATTTTTTTATCATGCTAAATATGAAAGCATTATCTTTTACTGGTTTAAAAATCATAGAGAAAATTTTATTTCTTTATAAGTATAGCAGGTCAAAGATCAAGATCAACAGAGTTTGTAATTATAATACTACTGATATGCCAAATGTCAGAGTCCAACGTCTTAAAGTTCAAACGATGAAAAACAATTGTTTTTTGAAAATGTTTGTGAGCTGAGCAAAACATTTGCAATATCAGTTACTTGTTACTATGGTTCAACAGAGATTCCTGTTTTTGCGACACAAAAATAAAATTGCTAAATGTATTTGTAAGTCTTCGATTTAATTTTAAAAAGATTATACTGTATTACAGTGTACTGAAAAACATTTTATTTCTAATTTTCGGTGATTAGTGTTTCCGCAATAAAAGTAGAATGTACTTAAGGTTTAAGTGGCAATTTCAAGAAACAATTTTTCCCTCGTATGAGTACAGTATCATGATTTCATTCTTGTATAGCAGCGGACACTGACTGGAATTCAAAAGAAGAATTATTAATATTAGTAAGAATAAAATAGTTTTTTTCTTCTTTATAATACATGCTGAATAATAATACAGTGTACTAGTATTTAAATAGAAATATATTTTTTGGAGTTTTCTTTAGTGTATCTGCAGGCATCATATCTTGATAGTTGATAAGTCCAACCGTAAAATTCAGCATCTTACAGAGATGGGAGATTTTATCTTTATGCCCCTGTCGATCGGTCTGTCGGTAGACCAAGTATTATCAGATCAATATCCTTGACAGTCATCAAACTTGGTATACACTGGTCCCCCCTTAAAAAGTAGATGAATCCTTATGATTTTTAGGTCACCATGTCAAGGGACAAACTACGGAACATAGGAATGCATGGTCTTGTCATGTTGTAAATTTTGAATATACCGGGTGGCAGTAAAACAAAATTGTCATGTTGTAAATTTTGTATTTACTGCCACCCGGTAAATTCAAAATTTACATGACAGTCTGCTCAAATCTTCAGAATCCTTTGCTTGTCAGACATCAGATTTAATACACTGATACCACCAAAAAGTATATGACCCTGTTGATTTTCAGTCAAAAGATCAAATGTTAAGGGTCAAACTACTCTGGACACAGGAAGGTATTGCCCGTTCAATATCACGAGAACCCTTTGCTTAACAGACATTAAATTTGTTACACTGGTACCCCTGTGATCCCTTCTAATTATGAGGTCATAGGGTCAAGGGTCAAACTACTTTGAATTAAAGAAGATATTGACCTAAAATATCTTGAGAATCCTTTCTTGACATATACCAAACTACGAAGTTAAAAGGGTACCTTCTTAAGACTTAAAGGAGTAGATGAGATAACCCCCTCCCCTCCTATTGACGTAGTGGTCATAAGGTCAATGGTCAAACTACTCTGGACCTGGACATAAAATATTTTTCGCTTAGTGTCTTGAGAACTCTGCTTGAAATACAGTAAAGGTTCACTGGTACCCCTTAAGGAGTAGATGACCGCTATAGATTTTTAAATCATGAGGTCAAAGGTTAAGGGTAAAATTACTCTGGACATAGGAAAATATTGTCTGCTCAATATTCTGAGAACCATTTGATTGACAGACATAAAACTTGGTACAGTGGTACCCTATAAGAAACAGATGACCCATATTGATATCGAAGTCAGGCAATCTAAGTTTAGGGTTGGTCCATCTTAGCATTTCTGCACAGGGGCATAATTTCTTGTTAATATATATATTCTGATTCTACACAGAAGTTATCTAAAGCTGTTTTTAAAAAGAAGCTGGAAATTTCTCTTTCACAAAATATGTGGTCTTTGGAGACCAAGTCCGCCTATAAATCAGTGGTCACACATTGTGCTTAACAATATTTATTTGTCTCTGTGATAATTTTTAAATTTTATGCCATTTTATTTTCTCAATTAACACTCATATTCCTCTTTTTTATTATAGGATTAAACATTCTTTTTGAAAATTTTATCGATGTGTAAACTCTTGACATTTTACTTACAAACTAAATAGAAGTGCGAAGCACTTTTACGTTAAGTTTGTGAGTAATATGTCAAGAGTTTACACATGGATGAAATTTTCAAAAGAATGTTTAATTCTAATTCCAATTAAAGTTTTAAAATTATTTCTCTTTGAAACCTCCATACAATCCGTTATTTCTGTATACAGCGTAGGAATACTTTATATCGAGATGTGGAAATGAAATGTAATAGAGATGAACATCGAAAAATGTAATTTAAATTGTCAAAACATTCAATAAAACAAACTTATGAAAACTCTTCGAATATTGTTTAAGTCATAAGAATTCGTCCTTGACCATGTTGACACTGATTAACGACAAACGCTCTAAAAGGAAAGTAGCATTCTGACGACACCCTTGATTTGCTCTGGTTTGTTTAAAGACGGGACAGAATATAGGATGTAGAAATATGAATTTGATGCTAATAAGGCAAGAGTCTGAAGTACGATTCTCTTACCTATCACCTACCGAGAACTGAGCTGATTTGCTTAGCATTAAGAATGACGATAATATCCTATTAGAGATTTAAATAAAAATTCACACTCGTGATCTGACAGTGACATAAACATAACATTCCCCTCTGTCAGTCCTGTATGTCGTCAGTATTGTTTTTATTTAATTTCAAGTTTCTATAATCGTTTAGCCAAAACAGACTAGAAGTAACGATTTGTTTCATTTTATTTTTTTTTTACAATAAAAGCTAGGCCAAGAAAGTAGTTCTGGTTGAGAGATTTATCGATGTGTAAACTTTTTCTTGAATTTGTTCTCGTCCAATCAAAACACAGGAAATCAATAAATAAAATTAAGATTGGAATTATTGTCTTTTAGCAGGCATTATTCATATGGATTTATATAAATTTTATACTCACCACGCATAGTCCAAGGTAATGAAAATGTATTGGAATCATAATAAAAATACTTTTCTTGGTCTCCTTGAGCAGGAAGAGGCAGGTACTAGTAAGGTTTTGGAATGGTTGTTATTTGTCCATCACAAACTTCTTGCCCGTTTCATAACTCTCATACCCTTTATTGGAATGTATTAAATCTTACAAGTTTGTTTTTGCTCATGGAGTAAAGGTGCATGATGATCCAGACTTAAAGCCATTCATGTATTTTATAGGTGTAGGACACCCGCGTCCCATCAACATTTTTAACACTGATATATATATTTACATTTACTTTGCCAATCGACTTGTAACTAAATGATGTGATTTTGAGTGAAAAACATCTTAAGGACTTGGGCAACAGCATACGACAGTATTGAGCGTTAAATGACAAATAGTCCTTTTAAAGAAGAAAACTATGCTACAGGAGTAGAATCATGTCACCGCCTAAAGAGAGTCTATACTACCAAGGGATTTATAAAACAATTAAGTGGGCGGTATTCTAGAAAACTAAGTACATCTAATTATCTAAATGTTACTACAGGAGAGAAATGCTTAAAATAATTTCTTCATTGTCATTCCCTTTTCAAATTCGAATTCTCTTAATTTTAACTTAACCTTTTGTTTAATCCCACACCAGGGGCATGACAAAAGAACTCTTTCACAAAATAAAATCTGAAAATTGAATGTTTTCGCTCCAAATTTCAAGTATTTTCATCAGCTATATTTTGTCTTTGCTACAAGCTGAAGCCTCATTGCAGCTTTGAAAGACCTCTCACAAGAAACGTATATATGTATACCCGAAACTTGTTAACAAGCTTCCAAGGTCGAGACGAAATAATAGTACATGCTTAGTTAATAGAAGAACGGACAAAGCAAAACTCTAAGTAACTAGCCATACAAGAGGCATCAACTGAAATACAATTATGTACTATAACTCTTTAGTTTTCCAAGGATATTTTACAATCACTGCCTGCTACGCAATCCATTGATGTTTTTTTAAATAAATGTTATAAAAAAAATATTCATTCTCATATATTGTTCTTTATCTGTCTTTATCACAAACAACTGCTACACTGTAAAAACCTCTTGCTTTATTCACTCGGTTTCATGAAGGAAATCTATATTTAAAAAAAATACTTACAAGAGGAAAATTAAGAGTAGAAATTCTTTACTTAGAGCAGCTTTAATATCTAGCGTTGACAAAATTAGAAAAGTATATGGACGGTTAGTGTTGCAATTAATGTCTCTGCACTATAAATAAATTTAATATGTAGTCGTTGCTACCAGCTTGGGAATAAATATAACTCATAATATAATTTTGTCGATCAAAATCGATTTTCTTTGTTAACAAAATATAAATTAAAACTTAAAACAGATACATAGCCAGCAAATATAAATAGTTAGAATGAGAAAGGTTGACAAGAAAAAAGTTGTCTGGCGCTGGACTTCACCGAGTGATTCCGTGCGCTCTCGTTTTTTAGCACAGGTATCTTTTCCTCCAGTCTTCATTTTGGAGTTATCCCACCTGAAAAGGCCTTTAACTGAGATTTCTCTTGACCTATGTGCACTGCGTTTTTGGACTTGTTTCAATGTCATCGGAAAATGACACATCAGAATTCACAATCCTAATATAGTAACAAGACGTCATATTACATTTGCATTGAGGTGAGAAAGTTCAGTCGGCAAATTAGTAACTCCATTCCCAGAATGGTTGATATGGTGAAGCGACTGGTTAGCTAACATCATCTCAGATTGACTGACAGGCATTTCGTCCTCAAACTCACTCACACCCCGGCACTGTTTACATGTTAATAAACGACGAAATGCCATCTTGAAAGACTTATTGAAATTATAGTACAAAAATGGATTTAACATAGAGTTTAGATAACCTAACCACAACGCAATAGTCCACGGCACATATTCTATCTGATAGCCTATAATGGGGTCTATGATGTTCATTATGAAAAACGGAAACCAACACACACAGAAACACCCCATAATAATTCCTATGGTCTTGGCTGCTTTGGTTTCGTGCTTGAACTTACTGTTCCTGCGTTTACAATGAACCGAAGCTTCCAGGCTGCGAATGTGATGTGCTTGTTTTCTTGCAGCAAGATAAATCTTCACATTGGAAATGATCAAAAACACGGCCGGAATGTAGAAAGCAATTGTGGAACAAATAACGGCAAATGGTATGTTGACAATAAGCTGACACACAGAATCTCCTAAACAGTAGATATAGTCCTCTATCCCGATATGATTCCACTGCTTTAAAATTGGAATATAGGCTATTATTGCCGGAAGTATCCAACACGAGGCAACCATGGTCGCTACAATTTTATTGTTGAGTCTTTCGTGAAGGAATGGCCGACATATGGCTAAGTACCGATCGACAGCCAAACATGACAAATGCATGATAGAAGAGGTAGTGGACATGACGTCAAAACAAGTGTAAATTGTACAGACAGTCGGTCCTAAATTCCACTTGTTGTTGTTAATTTGCAAGTACACGGCAAACGGCATTACCAATATGGCCACCAGAGCGTCGGCAACTGATAAAGATACAACGAAGACGTTAGTGATCGTCCGCAGGCGTTGGTGAGTAAACACGGCCACGATGACCAGTACATTGCCGATCAGAGTGAGCACCGGGAACAGGGAGAGCAGAAGTCCGATCAAAGTGCGGGTCTCTCTGATATAATGGGGAGGCGGCCCGGCCTTATCTGCTAACTCAGCGGTGCAGTTGGGACCTGTGATGAAAGAGTCGTTGGACATTCCGTCATCAACATCATTAGCTGACCACAAACAGAAATTCCGAGTTTTTAAGTCTGGTGAAACTTATGGTTTAGGATAATATCATACGTGAAGTTATATTTATACAACAAGGAACTTATTCCACGAATTTGTCTCATTAAACAAACATACTTCCTTTTCTTTTCTTTTGAAAGCCAATGTAAATGTTCAGTAGACCACTTTAGCTTCTTGATTCAATGCTTGGTACTTCACACAATGGAACCCGTTCCTTTTCCAAATGACATTATCATTAACCTAACTTTTCTTTTCAGTCGTAGTTTTCTCTAGTTACTCTCCAATATATGTTCTTCGGTAACTGAACGATTCCATTAAGCTAAATTATACCTCGCTTGTACACCAATAGTTTGTTAACGCTGTAAACCTAATGACTGAGCAGAATTTTTTTTAATATCGACTTAGTAATTGTTCCTCTAATTGGAAAAGCTTCCTGGCCAATTTTACGCACGGGTTTACGGAGATTTTCCTTCCTTTGCGCAGACGGTCGTCTTACCTGGAATAGAAGGTAAAATCAACATTAATGGGGCAATAATGGAGGAAATAGGCGAACAAAACAAGTCAATATCGTGCGAAAAACTAGATTCACAAACAATTAATAGATCTCCAAAGAGTCGCTAATCTTTTGGGACTTGTTATTGACCACTACATAGATTTACAAGATAGGCAGTGCTGCGAATCAATTCAAACCTCTCCGCCGCTGTTGTAGGAGTCTCCACGCACCCAAACCTCTTGAGAAAATAATTTTAAATCTACATGTGTTTGAAGTGTAGTGATTTTTAAGATTGTACAACTAAGTGGGGCAGCAATTTAAACCTTTGCTGATTGTCGTTTTGTTATGTAAAATGAATGCTATGTGTTTTAAACATTCAATGTAATTCTTCTAGAATGTTAAAACTATGCTGAATTTGGGCTGTTTTAGCGGGAGTGGGTCTTAGATGATAACCTCGTCAAGACAAGGAAGAAAGAACAAAGACATTAAATTTAAATGATCTGATTCATTAAACAGAAAGATGTGTCGATAAAGGTTCAGAGAGCACGGTCTCTTCATATACAGACAGCTCAGTCTGACACCGGCCTAAAACCGATATATCCCTACCGTTTGATCTATCTCGATGTCACATTTATCAGTATAAATAAAAAAAATAACTTCTAAATGATCCCACTTGAAAGAATCACTTAACTGATTTCGTCATAAGGCAAACTGTCGCCAGGCTTTCCAGTAGAAAATTTCAATGCATCAAGAATTTTGTGTCCTGAATAGGCCTGGTATTTGCAAAAAAAAAAAACTATACGCACTGCCTTCATCAGGACAGTGACTAAAAAAGCTCTTAAATATCTCATAAGAAATTACTTAGAAATCACGGGTTTTCATCTGATACTTGTAAGTCACCTGTCTGTATATATTGAAAACTCCTGAATTCCAAAATACGATTTCTATTTATAGGTCCGCAATTTAATCCGATAATGGTTCTCTCATTTAAATGGCGGTCAAAGTCAGCGGGGTAGATAGCTCTATTTTGTGATGATTATCAAACAAAATGGATATTCTATTACAAACACTAGGACAGGATCTACTGGGGTGGAAAATATTTCCTAATGAAGAAGAAAATAGATATTTTTGTTTACTTGTCCAATCCCTCAAGCATTTCTGTGCCTATTGCCCCTCCCATACTAATATGTACAGCAGTTAAATATAGAAACTTCTACTTGGTCGCTAATTTGACTTTTTGAGTAATGCCTAATTAGTTGTTTATGTATTTAATGATTTCCATTGTAATATTTCATAAAGGTTTATTGTTTTGGCACTCATTATTTATTTAAAAAACAACTTAATTAGGAACTCTGGATATAAATATTGTACGGGTAATAAATAATAATTCTCTTTGTATATAATGTACCACAAAGAGTCTATCTCGCCGGTAACAAAGGTTTAACAGAAGAACTAACGTGCTTATCCTGTCAAGAATCACTTAACATCTGCAGAGTACAGAAACATAGACAGAAGGATGCTATATAAAAGTCAGTGGACCGATATCTGACTCCAACATCTACATACTATACTCCTAACACGACTCATCAGAATTCATAACAACGATATTGTAGTAGAACTTTACATAACTACACAGTCAGTTAAGAAGTATGTGCCAAACATTCCATTATCCTCAGTCGTTCTTAGAAAACACTATCTGAGTTCTTGCAGTTGTATATTTAGTCTGACAGCACCATACGCAATACCAACAATTACTTTGATTTACGTTCACAGAAGAGACTAAAGAAAGCTTTATGCCTGATGTATATTTTTATGTAAAGCCTACAGTCAGATTTATTTCTTTTGTGAATTCCATTAAGTGCCTTCTGCCCCACCCTCTATACATACAAAACATCTAAATTAAGACCAATTACACTCGGAGGGGCAAGACATTTTGCAAACAAATAACGTTGTATGCAGATCTATGGCATTGTTGCACATTTTGGTATTATATAATATCACGTGACTTTTACATCTATAAACTTTAGGCCTCAGGTATAGTTTGAACAATGACAAAGATGGCACAGATTTATATTTCTGTTCAGTTTTAACATATTTTTAGTGTAAGACATACGAATAAATTTTATTTGAGTTAATCCAATTGCGTCTTGAGCCTAAAGAATTTTCTCATTACCAAAAGTAACGTTAAAAGGAGATCTATTAAGAGTCAGTCTCTACCGAATACCAGGCAAATGGGTGGCACATCGCATCAGGCAATGAGTAGCACATCACATTTTATGGAATTTTGATTATTTTTTGCATGTAGAGCATTTAAAACAAGTGTCCTTTTCTTGGGAATTGCTTAGTTTAAGAGCAAATAGGTCAACATGAAAAATGGCGGAATTTCACGATGAACTACAAATATGGGACTGACACAAAGATCAAGACACACTTTCAGAACATAAGCAATCTTTGTGTAAGGTATGAGCGTCCATAAAGAATTTGTAAACAAGACACGAACTTCATACTTTTTCTGCAGTGACCTTGAACTTGCCGGAATAAGCTTGGGTCAAAATTATAACAGATCTTCAGGTCATAAACAATCTTTGTACCAAGCATGAGATTTCAATGATTCTCCATAACAAAGTTGAAGCTCAAAAATAGATAAAACACTCTTTTCTGCAAGTGACTTTGAACTTGCTTAAATGATCTTGAATCAAGGTCAAATAAATTTTAAAGTCACTGTCATGTTGTAAATTTTGAATTCACCAGGTAGCATTACTACAAAATTTACATGACAACTAGTTGTCATGTTGTAAATTTTGTATTTACTGCCACCCGGTAAATTCAAAATTTACAATATGACATCACAGGCAATATTTATGATAAGTATGCACCTTTTATGTTCTCAATTGCAAGATATACATGTAATCAGGACAGGAAGTACACATTTCTTTCGAAAGTGATCTTGATTTTGATCAAATGGCCTTGGTTCAATGTCACGACGCAATCTAGGTCAAGAGCAATCTTTGTATGAAGTATGAACTTCCAATGTTTGTTCCATTAGATAATTATAGATCGGACACGAATTATATACATTTTTTGCAAGTGATCTTGAACCTGTGGGAATAACCTTGAGTCAAGGTTATTACATATCTTCAGGACATAAACAAATTTTGTACCGAGTATGAGTTTGAAATGATTCTCCATAACAAAGTTATAGCCCAGACAAGATTGCACGGACAGGCGGACAGACAAACAGAGTGATACCTATATACTCCTCGTACATGGTTTGCGGAGGGGTGGTATAATGATAAGTGTGGATGGCACAATATGCCAGTTCAATCTTTTTTTCAAATTTTGCAGCGTTGTCCGACTACTAAAATATATTTGGCAGTATCTGAATATTCATATAAAGGATACATTCAAGAACCGGATTTGAGGACATCTGTGTCGTTGAACACCTCCAGGAATCGCTGGACATACAAAAGTCCAAACAACCTGTAAAAACGTCTTTAAATACATTTAACCATAAAGTTAACCTGAATCCGAATTTCTTAGTTTCCTGGTATTTTAGTTCCTAAAGAACATTTTTTTTTACTCTTTTATAAATGTCTATGGAGATTTAAGATCTACATAATACCCTTTTATGCCTAGACTTTATTCGGATAATGATTCATAAGGAACCGGGTTCAAAAGTCAAGGCATAATCAACTTTATCTGTTGATGCCTCTCATGGTGTTTTAGATGCAAACGTATGTCAATAAAAAGGCAATATATTTCTACCAGCAAGAAATTGTTTTTTGAATAATAAGACATAATGTGTACTTCTGGGACCATTATTCCTCGCATTAAGAACTTTAAAAACTAACACATTAGAATTAGGTCAATTGCTAGACTTTGTTTCATAATCGCTCCTAAATCGAGAATCTATAGGCAACTTTACCACCTGTTTGTAAGTTCTGATATTTCTCACATTTAGAAACTCTGCCAACAATGTTAATAAATATAAGAATATTTTGTTCCTTACAATCCTTGTGGGTTTTTTTTCCAAGTGCACCTTTCAAGTAAAGACCCCCAAGAGAGTTTGAAGTGAATGTACTCACAACACACCAGAGGGCATTATCACAAAATTATCAATGACCATCAGAAAATAGTGGCTACGGAATGTTGTAGCAGAATACACAATGCTACTATTGTACACAAAGCTAGGAATTCCACGTGGTGATAAATCACGGCTTGATATCGCAGTTAACGATGATGAGAATCTAACAACGTAATGAGGAGTAATAACCCGAGGTGATACGAGGGAACGCGTCCCTGGCTACGTGACGTCATCAATAAAAATAATATAAAGAACAAATTACTAACAAATGACTCAAATTATCAGAGCATCAAACTCTGACAGAAGCTCTTACCTATGTTTATCAATACATAAAACATTGATGACTTGTTATGGATCTTGAAGGTTTAGAAACAGTTGATTTACTAAGACATTTGCTTTTAAATTTATTGATTGGTATGTATACATACCAATGTCGTAATGAAAGATTACAATAAAAATCATGCCATTAACTGATGTATTTCATCATGAGTAATTTTAATATCATTATTCATTGTAAGTAGAAGTAGGGTGAGATATAAGTTTCTGAAACCAGGCAATAGATATAATTGTATACCATTTTCTGGATAAATAAGAAATGGAATTTAATTTCATTAATAAATGGTACATGAAACTGAAACATTAAACTATCAATAAGAGAAAAGCAGTCCTACCCTTGGATATATGACCATAAATATTGAAAGGATATTAAAAAATACTTTTAACACACTAGACAATAGAAGTGCCACACTGAGATACAAGTGCCAGGTCACGGTTAACGTCCCTACTCTAACTATAAGCAACGCCAAGTAACATAAGTATCTCGCCGTGAACCTATAACGTGCTCGAGTAAATGGCCAAAGGGTCAGGTCTTCTGTCTCGAAGGGGGGACCAGACCCACATATCATGATCTCGACTGTAG